TACTGATTACTTGTCAAAAGCAAGCCTACCATTGGGATAAGGTGAGAATAAAGACAGAAATCATTTGTTGGGGAGAATAAACATATTGCCCCCCACCCAAGTGTAAAGGCTACATATTCCTATGCTGGTCTTTATTTTTACATTATCTTTGCTGAAAAGGAAAAAGGAAACTATGTTTGAAACAATCAAATGAACATCAGCTGCCCATGATAACAAATCATTCTGACACTTCAAATAGCAAATCACTCCATTAGTAAAACATGTTTCAGCTGCAAATCCCATAATAAGAGCCTTCTCTGTCAGTGCTGAATGATTCTGATAGCTGAGGGGCTTAGGAACAAAGCTTACCAAAGAACTGATGTTCTCTGAATTATAATAAGTATAATATGAAAAGGTCAGATTTTGAACTGGATCCTTATAGGCAGCTTGCACAAATTTGTATATAACCCCTCATTTGATAAGGCCATTTTATCAGAGTCATAGTGAATAGTTTCCATATGTTTAATTGCATTCAGTAAAAGTAAATGGATCCTTTCTTAATTATGCTCTTTAACTATTGTTGTAAGCTACTCTGGAAAAATCTGTTTGGAAGGACAGTCTGCACACTGTTTATGTATGTATGTATGTATGTTCCAGATTGATCCTATACATTCTAGCTGATCTTCTTGTGGCTTTTAATTCAAACATTAAGAAAATATGGGAATGGTCTGGTCCTTGGGGCTCTTTATTCCCATTTCACTTTAGCCCAAACATGCCTTTTTAGCCTGTTTTTGCTTTTTAAGAAACTTCTCTTTTGAAATAAAAAGAGTGTTGAACTTGTCTGTCTCTTTTCCTCTTACATATACCTTGAATTCTCACACCAAATCTTGTATTAACTCCAGCCGCATTCTTCTTTTCTATGTAATTCCCTCATCAAATGTCACTTGTCAGAAGGAGATCAGACTAATGTTAGGTTAGAGCATTCCAACTTGAGTTTTCCAAGATGGGGAGTTGTTCATGCTTCTTTGTCCTATTCCATGTTTTTATTTATTACTCTATTTAGTTTCCTTTTCCAGAGCATGTAATGCAGGAAGAAATTTAAACCATCTGTCAGACTGTTCTAAACCTATGCCTTACAACAGAGGATTAGTTGGAGGTTTCAGCTGCTCCATCCCACCCCTTCTGGGGCTTCAAATGTTAGGCTTCCTGACATCAGAAATAACCTGATCTGGAACATAATTCTAGTTCCTGGCCACTGATACACATGATGGTGAGAACTTTCTTGTATTTGGTCTCTGGTATTTGGTCTTCATTGGTACTTTTCTTCAGAATTCTTTTTTATTAATCAAAAAGGGATGGGGGAGGGAGGGAAGGAAGGAAGGAAGGAAGGAAGGAAGGAAGGAAGGAAGGAAGGA